CACTCCCTTGGCTCCTCCCCACTGCAGTCGTCCGGATCACACTCCCTTGGCTCCTCCCCACTGGTCCAAGGCTCAGGCGCCTCCTGGTGGCCAACCAGCCTCTCTGCGCCCTGCTCAGAGTCAGAACCCTGTCCAGGGTCTTCCACATCCTCCAAAGCCAACTCATAGGGCCCCTCGTTGTTGGAGTCTGGTGGCAGCTCCAACGGCTCCTGCTGGGCCACAACAGTATGCTAGATCTACAAATGATGATTTGAAATGAATGGGAGGGAAATCTATTTTTATGAGCAACATAAAAGAAATAAAGCAAACAAAAGAAAGAGAGGGCTCCTATCATTCACTGCCCTCTAGTTGATTACTTGAGAGTTTTATACAGGGCTGCCGAGAGGCTTATTAAGTGCTGGAACAAGACTAATATGGGCCCCTAATATGGACATGTTAATTCCCCAAGTCTCTTATTTAAATCCTCTGAGTGCCAGGATCTCCCCTTTGCCAACCTTTTTTCCTGCATTGTCCCATGACAGCTTGCCTTTCCTATGGGGACTTCCTTTCCTTGCCGCACTCTGACCTCACCCACTCCACCACCTGATCCACTCACTTCCCCCATGGAAGCAGGGTGGGTTCAATCCAGGCCCCTCCCCCTCATCCCTGCCTGGGCAGCAGTTTGCAGGATGCCTTGACCCAAGAGAAAGAGGACTGGAGGGCAACAGTGTGCATTCTCCCAAATGCTCTGATGCAACCCCCCCTCCCATGGAACAGTTGCTCTATACATCCGGGTACCCGCCTGCTTAAAACAAGACAGAGTTGGGTTGACTTTCTTTACTTCATCCTCTCACGAGTGGCTGTAAAGTGAAACCGTGTCTGCAATGAAAGGTCAAAGAAATACTTCTCATTTTAAATCTTTGTCCCCTAGCCTCCTAATGTTGTAGCTTCTTTGTATTCAGATTCATTCATTTATAAATAATATACAATATTTGACTGCCATTTATATTGTATTTCTTTCTTTCCCAGTTATTCAAGAAAGTCCAGGAGAAGGTGAAAGATGGTCCATTATTAGTCTGACAGGCATTTCCTACAAAGATGCAGGAGACTACAGATGCAAGGCCAAAAATTTCGCTGGAATGTCTGAAGCTTTTGTTACTCTCACTGTTATTGGTGTTACCACAACGGAATCTTCCCCAAAATATGGCAAGAAGACAGGAACAGAGCAAGCAAATATTACTCAAGAAGATGTCAAACTAGAATTTTTCAACGTGACACTTTCTTCTTCTACAATAGCGTCCACAACCACCTTTCCATCTACAACTATGGCCACCACTGAAAAATTCACAACTAAAGGAGAAACTGACACAAAACAACCTGAGCCCATGCCTGATGACAAAAAGAATGGGAACACAATTGTGAATGGAAGGAAAAAGCAATTGGATACATCACTCAGTGTAGAGTCAGCAGATGAACAAAATGTCACTCTGAAAAAGCTAAGAGTAATTCCTGAAACCAGTGAAAGAGTGACCTTGATGTGGAAAAATATTGATGTCTCTAATAGCTCTGCTGTGACTGTGCTGTATTCCAAGTATGGAGAAAAAGTGATGGTGTCACTAAATCCAGATCCCACAAAAAACAAAGTGACAATAGATGGTTTGGAGCCTAGCACAAAGTACATGGCCTGTGTCTGCCCCAAAGAGATGCTTCCTACCAAAGACCAATGCATCATTTTCTCCACGGATAGAATTACTCTGGAAGACAATTCTCCTATTTCCATTTTGCTAGTAGCTAGTGGGGTAGCCTGTGCACTTGTGATACCACTCATTTTTTTCCTACTGTATAAAGTTGTGATGCTTCACAGGAAACCAAAATTCATCAAGGAAGATGAACTTGCAAAAGAGACTTATATCAAATTTGAAACTCTTTCTTTTAGACCACATTCTATGGGAGCAAATGTGGAGATCTGGACTCACCGGAACACCGATGAATCTGAAAGACAACTACTTTGTTCTAGGTCAAGTATGGATTCGCAGATGACCTTCAAAAGTGAAGGTTCTAGGTCAAAGTACTTCTACTAACTCTGGGTTCTGTAGATTAGACAATCTACAGAACCCAGAGACAGCAGAAGTTCTCTGACCAAGAACCTTCAATTTAGATAGAAGCAAAAGAAGCTGAGACCCAATACTGGATCAATGCCAGTCACAAATCATGGATGACAAATACTGTAAATGATAGAAATTAAACTCTTATGTGGTGAGGAAAGGAAAATGCTTCTACAAAAACATTTAATGACACTTGATTATTCCCGAAGCACTTATCACTGTATAGCTTTTTTCTTGATTAATATTTTGTTGTTTAAAAAAAGTTTTATGTACAATATGTATTTTTTCTTCCATGATGCTCTCCATATTTCTTTCAATTATATACTGCAGTTCAATGCAAAGTACTTATCAATATTTTGTTTAACTAACTCAAACTCCTGAGTTATGCATGAGTGGAAAAACTCAATGGGGCACAACCCAGAGTAAGCCATTTCAATTAGGTTGATGAATTAGTTTGATTTTGTATTGTGGTCAAGAGGTTGTATAATTAAAAATATGAGATTCAATTTGGGGAATGCACATAAATATTTATAAGATCAAGGTGTAATGCAGTTAATCAGCACTAAGATTATATATATATGCAGCTAACTAAAGTAAGTCAGAAGCTACACCTGGAATAAGTCACACCTAAATTCCACTCAAATCACTTATTTGATAACTATGTAATTCTATGGAATTACTATGTAATTCCACATGATAGATTTTTTTCAGAAGAATCATGTGAGGAATGCATTTCCTCAACCCATGGAATGAGTTTAAGCTAATGATGAATATGCCTAAGTAAGAGCTGCAACAAAAGAACTAACATTATATAATGAAATTGTATAGTATTTTCTTCCTAAGCAGGGGGTTGGACTAGAAGACCTCCAAAATCCCTTCTAACTATTCTATTCTATTCTATTCCATTCCACCCCACCCCACCCCACTCCACTCCACTTTATACTGCATAGAGGTAAGCTAGAGGAACATATTTTGGACTTATCCATTAAGATTAGAAAAGAATATTAAGAATAATTAAAGGAGAGTTTGAAATATTAAAACAAATAGTATCTTTTTTCAAAAAATCTAGGCCACAATACAATGGTTCTCCTCCAGTATTTGCCTTAGTATTTATCTGGTATTCAATGATATATTGCTATTGATTATAATATTTTTATTTTAGCCATTCTAAGTACCTTATTCTAAGTAATTCTAGGCAATAGTGGTTAATGCATCAGTTCTTGAATGTGAATGTGAATGAAATGATTAATCCTTTTTTAAAATACCTAGTAACATTATCAGCCTTTATTAAGGTCAAGAGGCTGTGATGGCTCAGCAGTTAAATAAGCTGAGTTTGTTGGCTGGAAAGCTGACAGTCTGGTTCAAGATCTGCATGCTGTGTGATGGGATGAGCTCTCGTTACTTGTCCCAGCTCCTGTCCAGCTAGTAGTTTGAAATCGTGCAAATGCAAGTAGATAAAGAGGTACCACTTTGCTGGGAAGTTAACAGTGTTCCATGCACATTGGCTTATGGTCACGCTGGCTACATGATCATAGGAATGTCTATGTAGACCATGCTGGCTTCCTCAGCTAAAAAATGGACATGGGCACTGCCCTCCTAGAGTCGGAAATGACTGGACAGGTGAAACCTTTACCTTTAACCTTCTTATGATCAATGGCCAAATGTATACACGTTTACATTATGAAGGCTACAGATTTGGAATTTCAGAAAGTAATGAAAACTGAAATAACATTGAGTGAAAGAGGTAGATTACTACCGTAAAGAATTCAAACACTTTAAACAGAGCTGAAATTATAGAAGTACCACATTCTGGTTTCTCCTAATACTGTATTATGTTGCTTTTGTTTTAATAAGAAAAATATTAAGTTAGCTTTTTGGAGCTTAGTAGAAGACTTAATACCTTTTATTTCTCATGTAAGCAGAGTATATCACCTTTGAAACAGTTTCTCCCATAGGATTTGGATGGCCCTGAATCTATGTTAAAAGCTTCATTCTTTTCCATGAGCCCATCTCGGGCACCAGACAAGAATGGTGGATAAGCTTGTGTTTCTGAGAGATGGTTTATACAATTGGTGACCTCCAGCTGTTTGGTGTTTATGTCTTGCTTTATGAATTTAGGGTTTTTTGATGGTTGATGTAGGGATATTTTATTTACCATGTTCTTTTGGGATTTTGATATATTGATGTACGCCACCTTCAAAAAAATTGGACAGCTATGTAAATCATAGACAGAATATCAATAAATTTCAAAATCACCCCGATATCTCTAATTTTTGAAAACCTGCTTTTATTTTAACGCTTTGGTTCCCTTCCCAGTTGTGCACATTCTTATCTGTAGCCAGCAAGAGAAACAACAGCTGTAGAATAGCAATAGCAATAGCAGTTAGACTTATATACCGCTTCATAGGCTTTCAGCCCTCTCTAAGCGGTATACAGAGTCAGCATATTGCCCCCAACAACAATCCGGGTCCTCATTTTACCCACCTCGGAAGGATGGAAGG